GCAGAAGGAACATTATGTTATAGGAGAGAGAGAGAAGCATAGAGAGAGGCGCTCAGGCTAACCTTGTCCTAATTACATTCTGCAGCGATGCCATTTTTGCCCTAAATTCTCTCTCTCTCTCTCTCTCTCTCTCTCTCTCTCTCTCTCTCTCTCTCCCTCTCTCTCTCTCTTTCCTCAGCAAAAGAAAAAAAACAGTACTAAGACCCAAGACACAGCCACCAACAGTGCTACAGTACAGTGCATAAGTAATTGGACGGTGACACAGTTATTATAGTTTCAATTCTGGCTTTTTGCTAATGTTGGTTCTGAGATTAAACAACACTTGTGAAGTTTTATCTGATCCGATGCCTTCCTGTTGAAGTCTGTATGGGAACAAACTAATGAGATGTTAAATGTAACATGGATTTTTTAAGTTGTTCACAGAAGCTAGAATGTGCTTTTAGTAATGCTCTCATATTTCCATAGCAAAGTCACATTGTCACTGTCGAAGTAAAACCTTGTATCTCCAAAATGGTAACTTTACAGCAGGAAGAAAAAAACCTTCTTAACTTACAATGGAAGTTAATGTAACTAGATTTTTTTTCAAAGTCATTTTGGACCATTCCTATTGGTCCGTTCATCGTGAAATTTTAAAACAATGCACTAAGTAACTTCAGTTTTCATATTATGTACAAAAAACAACAAAAAGTAAGATATGATGTTTATGCATGAGAGCAACGAAAAGCACATTTTGACAGCAGCCGGACAAAATTTCCTTAAGAGTCAAGTGTTTTTCGATTACTGAGTTGTGTGTTTAAGTCAGAATTCATACCTATATTATTTTATTTGTCATTTTGGTGTCTGTAATACAACACGATAAGGAAGCATGTAAACAACTCAGTGAGAGCTAGCCAGACAGAAGTACAACCTCTTCATGATGGGGTTAGTACAGCGTTGCAACTGAGCCTACTAATGGGAAAACTTCATATCCGCCCTCCTTTTAAATTTCTAGATAATTACTACACTCATTCATGAAAAGCAAGCATATTATATATCACGTAAAACATGTACAGTATTGCGCACCTGAGAAAATTTATAAAAAGCTATCTGGGCAGTAAGCCTGTTTGCTCAGAAACACACAGAATAAATAAAAAAAGCCTTAACACAACAAGTAGTGGTTTTATGTATGTCATGAATAATACTGGGCTGCCATGGTTAAACATTTCCAAGTCTCTCCTCATGGCAGCCCAGTATTATTTATAGTTTTCGTCCAGTACCTGGTTTGGTAAATCAAAGCATCATTATATTAAATTCAAGTCTGGGGGCATCAAATCTGGAACCAAACTGTTTTCTTTTCTAGCTCACAAAATATGACCTGCTTTTTAAAATAAAAAAAAAATTGTTACTTTTTACTGTTTACAGTAAAACTGGACCCAATTCAAATGTAACTCACTAGAAGTCAGAACCCGTGTCACTCTCCAGTCACTTACAGACTGTAGGCACCTCATTTATGCAATATGGAACTTTTATATGGTACCTTTGAAATGAGCCAGTGCTAACCGAAAAACTGCCATTAGAAACTCAGGATGTGGATTAGTTTAGCTGGTTATCTAAAGAAAGATCCAACCCTCAATCCTCTTTCAATATACTTATCTTTTCTGACACGAGACTAATGAAATTTTAAGCATATCAGCCCTCAGCAAAAAGGCTTCCAGGAAAGTGTGTAAAAAAACTGCCCCCTAAAGCCTCCCCTTCCCTTTTTATCTTCTTTTAACTTAGTGCAGAGATATCAGAATCAGCATGACATCCTTTTATCCACCACGAAGCTTTAGGGGTTAGCAAGAACCACATGAGGCGTGTCCTCTGCATCTTTACCGGGGGGGCTGCTGTTTGTGTGTGTTGGCTCATGCTGTACTTGCACTGCACAAATATATAATAGTTTGACAGGAACTGTGAAACAAAGAAGCTGAATACAGTGAACTTTATCAGAGTGTACAAAAATTAGGGTTGTGCTTATCAGGTGAGTTTTATTGATACTCTGATAAACCCACTTAATAATTGAGTCTTTGCAATGAAAAACAGTATATGTGACAAAAATCATATACGCTGGTATGGCACAGTTTTATGTCCTGTATTTACAATAAAGGGGTCACTAAAACATAAAGAAAGCATAGTTTGGGTTTTTAATATAAAATGTTGAATAATATATATTTTTTTTCATTGGAGGGACTCAATTAGCACTTCCAAATCCAAACTGTGCTCTAAATTAGCTTGTCCACATGCATACAAAAACAAACAAACAAAAAAAAACACAGTACATCAATACCAACAGTAAAGGAAGCTTCGTGCATCTTTTATATTGTGTTATACAACAATTCTGGTGGCACAGTCTGTTTGGGAAGCATTCTACCCATGCTGTTGTGATAACAGCATGTTTTTTCTCAATAACTGTATCCTTCTGCTGAGCACCAGGTACTAAGAAGCAACTTGCTTTACGCCACAGATAACAAAGTTTCTACTTCAGCACATACAAAAACAGTAAATAGCTACTTTAGATAACTTCTAGAAGATAATATTTGACCTGCAACCCATTTAGTCATATTCTGAAGAAGAGTGTAACCGCAAGGCTACATCAAATTCTGAACCTGTCAGTGTCCCAAATAGCTAAAAATGACTGGAAAACAGCTCGGCAAACAAGATGGACTGTGAAATGACCGGCTGGAACAAAATGATATTCCGGTTAATCTAGCAAATACTGAAAAAGCTTAGTTGAACCTGTTGTTGAGTGTTAATCAAATCTGAAACAATGTTTAGAGCTTCTTTGCTTTACTTTTTCGTTATTTTGTAGAACTGATGTGTAAAAGGAGTAGAGTACTTTTGGTTGAGTGTTATCGCAAATAACGTGATGGCTATGATGATCTATATGATCTATGTGATCTTTCTATGTGATATTACTCATGATAACAGGCTCTCTCTCGTGTTCTTTTGCTGAAACAGAAAACACGGCAGCACCTAGAAAGCTCTGATACTGCACACTGATATGGTTCACTGTGGTTCACAATTTTCCCAACTTTTGCGTCAACCGCAGCAGTGTTGATTTTTTCCAGAAACACAGGCATGGAATGCTCATATTTGAAGCCCAGATGCACACAATCATGTGCACCAAAAAAGCACTTTTTGAAACATTAGCGTGTATTCAAAACACTTTAAGAATAAAATAGGGCTAACACCATTACCCCACGCAAGGGCAGAAATGGCACTATCACTACAGTTACTTTTACACTGCTGCATGCTGCTGGGCCGTGTGCTGTCCTAAATTCTACTGTGGAATGACATAACATGTAAAGGCAGCAAAACTCCTCTGGCTAAATGGGCCATCAGCAAATTCTTAGAATGGATTGCCAATAGGACGCTCAATTTGATGGGGTTAAGTTTGTTCCTGTAGAGGATGTCTTCGGCCCAATCCCGTTTCACCCCTTGCTCCTACCACTTAGCCCTTACCCCTCAGTTTTGCGCGTTCACGTCTGGTGGTAGGGTGTCCTGATTTTTGTTGAGATAGAGGGTTATGGCGAAGTATTAGGGCTACATGACCCTCCAAACAGAGGTTTTTCAGAGGCACACTCCAACGGACTGTTATGAGAAAAAAGAAAAACCGGCAAGATGGCTGCGCGAGCGACCGAAGAAACCCACAAATGTAAATATTTTCTCAGTTAAAAAAATTACGATAATTGTTGTATTATCTTAGTTTAATGTCATTTCAATGTATTATGGTCCTTTTCCTTGTAACAAGCATAAAAAATCTCTAGCAGTACACTGATGTCTTGGTAGCTAGCTAGCTAAATTTCCTGTTCCACCTTAAATGGTGCAGCAGTTACATTCTGGCACCTCAGGCATCAGAACTACTGTATCATTTAAGGTTGAACAGCAAAATTCGAACAAGAAGCTGGCGAATAGCTGACTTCAGCTTCATATCACTGAAGAATTAGGGGTGGGCGATAATAAATAATTGTCACAAGCCCCTCTTTGAAGGCATATGATTCCCTAAATTGAACTAAAGCCCAGCAGCAAGGTTGCTGAACTTTACCCTCCTACCTCCAGTGATATGCTATCACTGCAGACTGGCAGGGTCTCCTACAGAGCACCGCTAGTAGCCTGTTTATGAAGTAATGTTCTTCTTTATTTAAAGGTTGTTCCATTTCGTAGGGGAAGATCTCATCCTCTACCCCTTCTAACTCAGTTCCAAGGGGCAAGGTGACACTCAAAAACAAGGGGTAGTGGTAAAAGTAAGAAATGGGATTGGACCTTAATTTATTTGCAATTAGAAAATCAACAAACATAGTTTTACCAGGGGTGTACATTTTTTTGTATTTTCAACAACTCATCAAAAAACCTCTGCAGAAGCTGCAAGCTAAAATTGCAAACAAGACCTGTGTAATAAATTATAATTTAAAGAGAAGCCTAAGACAACAATGACAGAAATGAACGATGAACATACTGCAGATAGCCAGTGAGTGTTTCAAATGAAACTGGGGGGTTACGTCACATGGACTGAGGGCTGACTCTATTTCTGTGTTCTGAGAGAAACACTGGGGTAAACAAGAGCTCTGTGTGTGCATGTGGCTTCAGTCAATGACAAGTTCTGCAGATATGTCAGCTCCAATGCATAATATGTGCACATGTGTAAAAGAGACAATCTACCACTATGCTGGGAGGAGCCGACTACTAAACTGACTCTGAGAATGTGCTATTGTCAATAATACTCTAATGGATGCCTGTCAAATGCGTCAACACAGGTTAAAATATTTCCATGGCAACATCTGGATATAATGCATAGGTTTCTCTCATGCGCGTATATTGGTGTGCTTTCCAGTGTAGTGGTGTGTGTTCTGTGTGCGATCAACCCACCAGTAACACTCACAGCTCATTCAACCACAGCAAGAATTTTACAGGGCATAAAATGATAGGTCTAGATGCCCCTGACAAACAGAGCAGTAACACCTACTGCAGTACTCTGCACTTACATTTGGAGTTCATCATACAGTTGCCAGGCCCCAAATGAACTGTCAGTTCCCTGTTGAAAGAGAAACACAATGATTTATTAGCCTCTGAAATAGAAAACTTTAAATGACTGCATCAGCCTTAAACAGTTCCATTCAAACCATCAGTCTGCTGTATTACACTACAAGTGACTGGGTGGCTGGTTTATTGAAATTTGACTAAAGAGGTTTAGTGAATAGTTAACATTTGTTAAAGTGACGGATCAGCCAATTTACACAATTTATACTTACCCCAATGTAGCCCATCAGCAAAGACATTTGGTGTTCGAAATTTTCTTCCTTAGTTTAGCTATGAGGCTAATGTAGCTAACAGGTAATGGAGGTTCACAGCCACAAGGTTGGCATTATGCAAAATGTATGTCTAAATCATCACACGCTCATCTCAAACCAGGTTGAGTTGGTAATATTGTTTCTGAAATACTGCTGTCTATGAATTTTTGTGACCACTTTTTATAGATAACAGTACATTATACAGGGTTAGAAACCAATAAGCAAATCTGTTTGAGTGTGTGATGTTTAGGCATGCAGGTTGTATGATGATCCTAGCTCCAGTACAGAACTACAATACAAACCCTGGACACCAAACATGTCTTAATCGATCATATTTGGAGCAGAAATTGTGCACATTTTTAAACCTGACTGTTTTAAAAGTCAGAAAGAAGAAACTTTCAAAATGTTCGTTTATTTGCTTACATTTCATTACATTACATGTTTTTCACACTTTTCATTTAAAAATGACATTGTGAATCCCTTCTTTAGAAACGCTGGCTCTGTATCACAGCATACAAACTTTCTAGTCACACTCTGTCTTTAAACAAACTAGTTTGGATATCTTGAGGAATCTTCAGGAAATGTTCTTTTGGGAATCCATACAGAAATCTGATATATGGCCATATAACATAGATGATCAGGCATGTAATTCAAAATATATGTACATTTATGTTATGTACATTTAAATCACTGCTGTCAGAACAAAACCTTATATCTCCAAAAAATTTCCAGGACAAGGAAATACATTCTTAACTTTTAATGAAAGTAAGTTGATAAATAGTTTTTCCAAGTAATTTAGGACCATTTATGTTGGTTTGTTCATAATGAAATTTTGACACATCCTAGAAGGCACTGACCTTTTCAAATTATGTCAAAAAATGAAAAATGGAGATGCAAGGTTTTATCCCGACAGCAACTATATAAATATTAAACACTGGACATATATGCATAATATATGACACATATTTATGTGTCTGTTAGTTGAACACATATTTGCATTATACATAGATCACATATGTACTGTCTGTCTGATACAAACACTGAAAGATTTTTTAAAGCAAAAATCAAAATGAAATACACCAGCAACATACCTGCAATAAAAACCTTATATTGTGTAACATGCTTATTATAATAATATTATTATGATATATGTTCATATATGTTGATATATGACTGAAATATGTCCCATATTTGAAAATAGCCAATTTCAAATAAGTTGGAATATATATATCACAGGTATGTCCCTATGTGATTAATTTAAGTCGGATATAAGAGAAATCCATATATGCTAATATATGTCATATATTTGGAATCCATATATTGGCATGCATAAGATTTCCATATTGGAATCTTTAGGATGAACTGTATAAACACCTCTCTACCAGTGCAACATGTGGCCACAGGAACTAGCACAGTGGTTTAAGATTATAAGGCTCCCTTGTTGTCCTTAAAGGGACACTCCAGTCCAAATGAAAAATTTAACCATTGCTACATCTGTTTTAAACATTCCTATTCACCTCCTACAGTGGTTAAACAATCCTCTTGAGAGTGAGATGTACTACTTTAAAGAAATCACCTTCTGATGTTGTATTTTGAAGATGGAAGGAAAAACTACACCTGCTTAGAGGTGGAAACATGAGGGCAGACAGAAATTTTTATTTTTTATTTTTTTATTTTTTTTGATAGCTGGCTAATGCAGAAGAGAGCCAGATGGCTATTGTTACTGCTAGAAAACCAGAAATCACGTCTGTATTAGCCTCCACATTTGTGGTCAACATCCCCACTAACTGTATGATACATTTGCGTAATGCATACTGGATACTGTAGTGAGAAAACATTGATGGACAAAAATACAGAAAGGACTCAAAATCAGTTCTGTCAAACTGCTGAGACTGAGGGATGCAATACTGTGCTACAGAATATTACACAAGAAGACAAATAACATATTAAAGGCTTGTTTTAGGCCAGAATGTGTCTTTACATTTAGACATTTTGTTAAAATTAGCACTGACAGGTACAACAGCGCACAAACACTGGACACGACATTCTGTGAGTTTGTGACTGAATGTCAAGGTTTAAAACTACTGAACCAAAGGTGGACCATCACGCCAATGAAGTATTTTCTGTATCTACATATTTCAAAGCAAGTTGTCTGTTTCAAATAGTATTTCCACCAATTCCATAATATGTTTGTAATAATTGCCACTATTTTTTCATTCCTGTGAGGCCTAGGACTAGCATTGTTTAGTGACACAGTCAACACGATCCATAAACATGTCTTGTTTCCATGGGGCTGGTTTGAAGATTTAAATATGCGCAACAAGGCCACAATGCGACTGCTCCAAAATGGCGTCTGTCAGTGTCCCAGTTTCATCACGCTGTTACCAACAAGAACACAAACAAAAGATCCTTCTCAGCTCAGCCCTGAATTTTCAAACAAGGACTATTAACTCGTCTTCATACATATTTAACACTATACCTTTAAAGTTTCACCAGGGACTTGTCAAAGCAAAGCAGCTGAATGTGTGCATGAGCGTGTGAGTGTTTGTGTGAATCTACAGGGGGCATTCTGTGTGTTTGTTGTAGATTAGGTGGTCTCTATACAACGAAGTTCTGAAAAAAAATCTGTATTCTAAAACCAGCGACATTTTTATTCATAGTGACATTGCCAAAAATACAATGAAAAATGGAAATCATATATATTCAGTGAGCTCACTAGGGGAATGCATTGTTCATGGAAGGAGCAACAGAAACACAATGGCAGAATAAAGCACATTCAAATGTATGTATGGAGATGTGGAGACGCAGGAAGGACAGATTATTGTTGAATGCTTAGAACTGATTATAAAACACACTAAAATAACATCTCACTAGACACTAGAATACTGTTGCAACCATAATAAAATCCGATATGGAAAAAAATACATATTCCAAATGTATACATTCTTGCAATGTATGAAAATAGCCAAAAAAATGTGTTGAATATATTTAAAAAAAACACATTTCTTTGTATTTGTTATTATATTTTTTTCAATTGTGTGTTGTTTTAACAAAGGTTACAAATATAAGTAAATTTACATGAATTGAATGAACTGTACTGACTTCTGTGTTTTGCTTGGTACATATGTGGTAAGACAGCGCTCACATAAAATGTGTTTCAAATAAACAAGATATCAAATCATAACTGCGTTTTCACAGTGTATCAATATCTACAACACTTGCCTTTGCCATGTTAAAGGTTCATTTGCTAATACTTCCAAACAGTAAAGTGCATTTTGGCTATTTCCATACATTTTCATTTCATTCCATTTAATTTATTTTTGTATGGTACATTTCCATATGGAATATTTCCCTCTACATTTTAAGGTAAATATATTTTAATGTATATTTGGTTAATATAGCAATATGTTCGGAAATACATTTTAGTGTTCGGAATGCATTTCGGCATGGACTGCAATGTATTTCAAATGCATTTCAAATATATAAAATGTATGTCCATATATTTTTTTACATATGGGACCTCATTCCTTCTAAAAGGCAACTGCAGAGACAAACTGTAGGCCAAAAGTATGTGGACGCCTCCATCACACCTATATGAGCTTGTTAGACACCCCATTCCAAATCTCTGGGCATTAATACTGAATTGGAAACTATAACATTCCCCCTCCACCCAACCTTACTGTTGGCACTAAGCATTCTGGTGGGTAGCGTTCTCCTGGCACCTGCCAAACCCAGATTTATCCATCAGAAAAATAAATAACTTTAACATAATGGCCGTTTTGACTGGAAATAAAATAAATGAAATGGTGGTGTCTGCCTTTTACACAGTACAGTATGTTAATGTAACAAGGTTTTATTCTGGGCAATACTGGTCCATTCATTATGAAGTGTCCCCACAGTGTTAAAGGCAGCTAGTGTTTTTCAAATGGAAAGAAAAAATAAAAAACAAAAAAATTGAATTACGAGGTTTTGATATGACAGCGAGGATATTTAATGTAATGTAATCTAATGTTTCTGAGCATGTGTGTGCGTAGTCCTGCGTGTTTGTGTGCGTGCGCAGGCGCCTACTGTAATAACTGATCATATAAATCATCCCGCAAACTTAATTAGGCCATTGATTCAAAAATAATAAGGAGGCCATAATGAGCAGAATAAATGAATCAGGCAGACAGTGGTGACAGGCCATAGAGATTGCTTCCTATTCACCACAGCCAGGATAAGTAATCCAATTTTAGAGTCGGGGCCATGTGCTTCCAATCAAGTGCTAAGTGGACTCACACATACACACCACACACACTCTCTCTCTCACACACACACACACACACACACACACACACACACACACACACACTCACACACACACACACACACACACAGAGATGTGAGCTTCAGTCAGCCTCAGAACAGAGCAGAATCCCATTCTCTCTCGGCAGTGGCTTTGTCAGCAGTGGGTGAGTTTGAAAGGAACAGCGATTAGTTAGCAAAATTAAGCAATCCACTTCATTTCTCTTATTACTCTCTTAATGTGAACACATTAAATGTCACTCCATTTTCTGCTCGCGTTTACTTCATAATGACGCAGAGTGAAGCACGTCTTAAAGGGCAATGCAGGAAAGTGAAAGATGGTAAAAAATAGTGACAGACGTAGAGAGAGATCCTGGGGGCATGGACACAAGGTAAAGCATGTTTCTGTTGGTAGTGCTTTTCTAGTAAGATTATACAAGCTGTCTATGAAGCTAAAGCA